TACCCTTCCCAATATAGGTTGAAGTTCCTAAAGATTTAGGAGTCCCAAGCTTCTTTCTCAAAGGTTGCTTATCCACTTGAATTTTTTTACTTACGTGTCCAGTGTGGGTTACAGCAATAAGAGTCCCCTCTTTACAACATAATATTACTTTTTATTCTTTAACTCTTATTATTTTTTAATTTTTATTTGTAAAATTTATCTCTTTTATTAAGAGCAATAAAAGATAGATAATGTAATATTAAAAATATTTTTCACAATAATTTTTATGTTATTTCATTATTTGCATATTATTTATTTATTATTTATGCTTCAGTATATTATTTTTTATTTTATTTATTATATAATTTTATAATGTTGATATAATTTTATTTTATATTTATGTTTTGCTTTCTTTTATTTTATGGTTAATAAGTTATTTTTTTATTTATTTTATATTAAATGAATAATAAAATATTTGTATCAATTTCTAATAATTATGTGTAACTTTTTTATTGTTAATAAAATATGCTTATATTACCTCAGCTTTATGCAATATAAATTTATTATATTTTATCTTTAAATAATTAGGTAATTATTTTAGTAATTAATCAAACTACATGTTTGCCTTTAATTACTAAATAATTAATTTACTAATTTATTAACCAATTTAAAATTATATTAATGCAATAATTTGTAACATTTTTGTATATTTTTATTTTTATATGTTTTAAATTATTAAGACATGTAATGCCAATTTTACCTTAGGTTTTATGCAATACTAACTTATTAAATAATTTATTAATCTATCTTAATTAAATAATTATCTTTACTAATTATTTAAATATATTTTTTATTTTTCTCTTTAAATATTTCTTCTTTCATTCAATACAATTAATTTTATATTTTAAAATAATTTTAAATTATATTTTTAACTTTGATAAATTAAATAATCAAATTGATTATTTAAATTTATTTTTCATTTTATTATATAATTTTTTGTAGCACCCATTTACATTGTGACTCAGTCAGAGATATATATAACTTACATTATCTTAATTTTTTTTAATATTAAATTTTGATTTTAAATATATACTCAATTATTTTTTATAAAATTAAAATATATCATCTTAATTAACAAACTCTTTTGAAATTATCTATAATATGAATTTATGATTTTTATTTTGTATTATTTATTGTAGAATAGCGTGTAGTCACGCTATCTTGTCTATATAATTTTATTTTTATTTTTATCTCAAAAATATTATAAATTTTAAATTAGTAAATTAATTACACAATTTTTGTATAGAAATATATGACTTTGAATTCTTCGTTACATCGAAGTAAATGTAGAATTGGAAATTAGACCATCAAGTAAAAATAATTTTTAAAATAATTTTTTTTTAAAATATCAATTAATATTTTATTAAATAATTTTTCTTCTTTTAAAAACTAAAATAATAAAACTATCATTTAGGTTAAACAAGTATTTTTTCAAAATATAATAAATTTGCATAACTAAGTTGGTGGATCTGTGAGGTATATGATTCAAGTCATTAAGGTTAGTTATCTCAAGAGAACATGGCCTCGTAAGCTAGTGATAAAGTGAAAATGAAACAACCTGTAATCTAAATTAAGTGTAATACTTATTTCCATAATTAGTAGAAATTGATTCTTTAGAAAAAGTTTGTGGAGATTAGTTGAAATTTTAGGCTAAATATGAAATTTTAGCACCTAATTATACTTTCTAAATATTGATAATAGAGCCTGCATCATAAAGACATTAGAACTATAGTGCAAATTATACATGTATTTGAATGAATTGTGATGTAATTAAATGTCTTTTATGCATGTTTTAATGTGAAAATATTATGCCTTATATTTATTTTTTGTAGTTTAAGAATGGAAAATTGGATAGAAAAAATTTGAATTTAAGTTTTAACAAAATGATTGACACAATTTCTATGGATTGATTAATGTATAACTATACGTGTGAAAGAATGTTATGTATAACAAAATGATTGACACACTTTAAAAAAATGTTACGTGTGAAAGAATGGAAAATTGGATAGAAAAAATATCTTAAACTACAAAATTATCTTATATTATTCTGTCCTAAATTAATCACAAGTGAAGCTTAATTAAGCACCAATATTTTTAGCAATGGTGCCAATTTGATTCAAGTCACTTTCATTCAAAAATATTATACAAAATTAATTGAGCATTAGATAAGTAAACTCAGATCATATTTTAAAAACAATAATTACTAAATTAAGTATTATATGTATACTACAATAAATTTGAATTGATAATAATTATAAAATAATTAAATGTTGATTGATTATTATTAATTAAAAATAGAAAATAAAATAAATGAATTAATAATATGACTAATATATCAATTCTCCGTTCAAGTCAATATTGAAGCTAGCATATATTATTAATCATTAAATCTAAATTCTGTTTTCACTCTTAATTCAATCTTAAGATGATCAATTAAGCTCTAATTATATTAGAAGAAATTTTATTGTAAATAACATATAAAATATTCATTAAATTTATGTTAGTCAAATATTTCCTAATTCGAATTTAATTATTATTAATCAAATTTTATTCAAACTCATACATAAAGTTAAAACAACCTAAATATGATTTTCAATCTTAATATAATATGTAAAATTAAACACTACTATGATTAAAAGTTCTTTATTAATCATGTTAAGTCCAAAATAAAATTTAAATATCATAAAACATACATATTAAAAACCAAACAAAATATAAGAACATAATTTAGATAGAATAAGTTTAAATTTGTTTAAAAGAGAAACTCCAAACATTAATGCTATAATTAAAAGAACATATCCAAGAACAACAGAGAACTAATGCTATAATTGAAATCTTAAATCTAAGAGTAAAAGTTTTGATAATAATCATAATTAGGTCTCTCTTTATTAATACAAATTCAAAATGTAATAAACTTCTAAAATATCAAATTAGGTATAATAAAATCGTAATCTAATGATTTTTGTGTGTAAATGTAGTAGTTCAAGTTGTGCAAACTATATATTTTAAATCAAGCTTCATAATTCATTTTATATGAAATGACATGAAAAAAAATATTTCAATAAAATAAGAATCATATTAAAATTCAATTTGTAATACAAAATTGTTAAAATAGTAAATATAAGTTAGAGACGTTAAAATTTTGAAATTTGAATATTTCGATAATTTAAATTTAATTAAAATATTCTTAATAAATATAGCTAATTTAAAGTAATTAAAAATTACCCTCGTATAGTTAGACTATGTTACACCTTAATAAATAATAAATATTATTACTGGTTATTTAAAGAAAATAACAAATAAAAATATATGCATTTATGCCAAATATTACAAGTAGATAAATTGTAACATTTTAATATATTTATCATGATTTAATTTTTTAAATATAATTTCTATACTGTAATTTGAAATTTTAATTATATCTTAATAATATATTAATTTCATATGTTATAACCACGTTGTGTTGTATATGTAATTTTTAACATCTTTAAACATTTTCGTGATCTGTTCCAGTCCGTCTCTATGAAATTTTAAGTAATTTTGTTTTCCAAATTACGTTGTGCACAGCTCTTAGATAGTAGATTTTTTAACTTCAGTTTAACTATCTTGTTTTCATAACTCAACTTAAACGCTGTATTTGCCAAAAAAAAAAAAAAAAAAATTCATACTAAAACTCTAAAAATACAGTTTAGTTTCTTTATGTATATTTCATATAATAAGATATTTACAAATTATTATAATAAGAGTCATCAATTAAATTAATTTTAACAAAAATGTTAAAAATTTATATTTTTTATATTTTAATTTATATTTACATGATTAATAAAATATTTTAAAATTAATAACTTTATTTAATATATTTTAAAAAAACTCGTTTAATGCAAACAATTCTTCTTAATTTGACTACAAAATAATCTAGAATCACAAACGACTAACTCTACTGACTAATCAATATACAGCAAATAAAAAGGTTAAAATATATATTTTAAAAATTTCAAAATATGGTTACTTTTTACTTAGAATTATGTAAAATATTTTTTGTAATTTTTAAAGGTTAGAATAATTAATAAAATAAAAATTAAGTTCAAAAGACTATATTTAAAAAAGTAAAATGTATTTTAGTAAAAATAAAATAACAATAAACAAAATAGTTTTTTCTTATACGAAAACATTATCTGTGATATTTGTGAATACACTGGTAATGCGAACGATACGAAAGATCCTGGTTGATTTCAATTTTCAAGACGGCATCTTTGACTTTCAAAGCGTCATTCTCGGTGATAAGCACTTTAAAGTTATTAAAAACGTAATTTTTTTATTTTTATTCATTAATTATTATTTTAACGATACATATTAATATTTTTCTCAAAGTAATAGTGTTCCCAGCTGCCAGACGATAGTTATCAAACCTAATTAATGCTGTTGACTAAAATAATATATCTTTTGTTTGAATTGTATAAAATATTACTTTTTAGGATAAAATCGTGTTTAATAATTAATTTTGTATTTAAATAAATAATAATAAAATAGAAAAACAAAAATGAAGTTGAAAGTAAACTAATAACTATATTAGGACAGCCTATTTATTTTCAAAAGTTATGTTACATCCCATTTTGCGTATAAAACGGGTAAATGGAAGAGAAAACTAGACAAAAAGTAAATCACATAAAAATAAAAAATCATAAAATAAAAATATATAGATACGAAAGTATAATAATTTTTTAAGGTAATAATATATTTTTATTAAGAATTATAATACTTAAATGTTGTAAGTGTATAAGATTTTATAATTTGTAATAAAAAATTATTATATATAAATTGTTATTTAAAAAGTGATATAAAAATATTATTATTGTTTATTTAATTTTTTTGAAAGTAATTATGGCAGTCAACGAGGACCCCAAAGGGGAAAGCTGCTAAAGTTGATATAATCCCCGAGTGAAGAAGAAGAACAGAGCACTTATTATTCTTCATTAAATTTCCACATGGTTAAGCCAAAGCGAACATGGTTGCTTTCACTTCTCCTATTAGCACTTCAATTAACAGAACCAGGTAATTAGTTCAGAATTTTAATCCTCATTATTAGTAAGAAATATAAATAATTTAAATCTATACTTAGCGTTGGATTTGCATTGCAGGGGTGAATTCCGCGAAATTCACATTAATTAATCAATGCAACTACACAGTGTGGCCAGCTTCACTAAGTACCGGTGGAAACGAAAACCTTTCAACCACCGGTTTCGTTTTGAAAACCGGCGAGTCTTCCACCGTAACGGCACCGGCGAAATGGAACGGCCGTTTCTGGGGCCGAACTCTCTGCGCCACCGGACACTTCTCCTGCGTCACCGGCGACTGCGGCTCCGGCAAGGTGGAGTGCGGCGGCAGCGGAAGCACGCCGCCTGCGACGCTGGTGGAGATTTCTTTAAACGGCGCGAACGGCCAGGATTTCTTTGACGTGAGTTTGATTGACGGTTACAACGTGCCGGTGATGGTGATTCCCGTCGGCGTTTCCGGCCGGAGTTGCAACAGCACGGGGTGTCCGGCGGATCTGAACGCCGTGTGTCCGACGGAGCTTAAGGTAACGGAAAAGGGGAACGTGGTGGGGTGCCAGGGCGCGTGCGGCGCGTTTGGTTTGCAGTTTTTCTGTTGCGTTGGGAATCACTCGACGCCGAGCACGTGCGAGCCAAGCGCGTACTCTAAGATATTCAAGACGGCGTGCCCTCAAGCGTATAGTTTCGCCTACGATGACTCTACCAGTACGTTTACTTGTTCATCTGCAGATTACAACATCATCTTTTGTCCTTCATCTAATAACGCCAGGTTAGATACTATCTTACGCTTGATTTTTTTTTTTTTTTTATTAACACTGTTACATATGTAAGTTTATAATTATTTTTTAAGGATGATATGTGGAATTAATTCATGATATTAAAATTTTTTATCAATCCTTAAAAATTTTATTATTTTTGGAAAAAATTGTCTCAGAGAAGTTAGCAAAGATAAACGACTTCTTCTGTGCTCTCAACTATGTTAAATTGAGGTAACAAAAAAAAACTGAATTCTCTTAAATTTTATCCTATTTATAAATACTTTAAACTTAATTTTATCTTAATTAAACTTAAAAATTTGTTCTTTTATTAGACATCACGAACTTTAATTTCATTTTAATCGATCTTTAAACTTCATTATTTTCATAAATAGATATTTTAAAATTTTATTTTATTTCAATTAATATTTTAATTTTATCCATTTCATAAAATTAAATTAATAATGAAAAATTAACTATTTTTTATCTTAAATATTATCATTCATTATTTTGTTTTGTTACATTTCATTATATATATGCGTGTGTTATTTTATCAATTTTTTTTGTGTTTATTTTACTGCATTTAGAATCTTTATTATGTTATGACATTTTAAAAAGCTATAATAATAAAAAATGAATGATTCAAATTTAAAGTAAAGAATTTGTTTTCTTTTAAATATTAGTAATTTAATTTAATTTTATGGAGCTATTTACAGAGGGAGTAAATTTTAAGGATCAACGAAAAAGATTACAATTTTAAAAATTATTTATAAATTAGTAAAATTTAAAGAATAATTAAAAACAAATTCAAGTGGAGAGTAGTTAATTGCAGTTTAAATTAAATATGGAGAGCTTCTTACACAATTTCCTATTCCAAATGATTTTGGTGCGGTTCCTACCAATTTAAGATCCTCTAGGGCTCAGAAGTTAACTGTATACAGTGTGCAATTCTCAATCTCACCTTTCATTTCTTTTAAATTACATTTTTATAACTATTGGTAAAATATAATCACCATTGGAATATTATAATTGGAATATTATAACTGCATGTTGTGCAGTTTAATTTTGAAATAGTATTTCGTATTCCACGATCCAAATTAATCCAAAACATAACCAGTAGATTTATTTTTTTTTCTTAACTTTTTCTTTTATTAACAATTGATTACATTACAAGAACAAGAAGAAATTTGATTGATGAATAGATGTATATTTAATGTATAATTATTTCTTTTATATGATTTACTGCCTATTGCAAGTTATTGTAAAAAATTAGGATAAATTAATTTTGATAAAGGGTTATATATGGTTAACTATAAAATAATTAATATCTTTTAAGCAATAAAATAAAAATGATTTTAAATTTATACCCTTCAAATTTATAGGCTATGTTTTACCATTGTAAATCTAAGGTTGTACAAGATTTGATCCGTCCCGACTCAATGTTAATTTTGATAAGTTTGGATTTTCAAAATTAGACCGAGTGTATTTTGACGATGAGTTTGGGTTATAATTTGAGTTTTTAAACCAGACCTAATGTTCTTTTCCTTTTAAAAGTTTTATTTTTTAAGTATTTATGTTTTAGTAATAAGATTTTAAAACTTGATAGATAATATTTTATATGCATGATATCATATTTATATCGATAGATATTATCTTCTTTATAATATATAATATAAAATATGATTTAATTTTAATTTTGCACTTCATTAATTTTATAATTTAGATATACAAGTTTTAACTTGGATATATTATGTTGGTAAATTGGGTTGATCAGATTCTGTTCCATTATTATTGAGTCTTGGTCAAGCGGGTTTGAATCTGAAAAAATAACCTCATAAAAATTTGGGTGGAGTATCACGGTGATCATGATAAACATGTACTAACCCGTCATGCATACATACCTAGTTCAATTGATTTTAGATCAATTGAACAGAAACAATCTTTTTCAAATTTTACAAATGTTTTCAAATAATTTTTACATTTGAGTTTTATAAAGTTTTTCATATAATTGAGCTTAAACATGGAGTCGCAACATTGTTTTGCACTAAAGTTAAAAGGGTACTTTTGTTCTCTCTCAAAGATTTCTGATTATAGTTAATTTCTACAATATAATGTAGCCTCCGTGTTGGTGACACACTCATTGCTGGCAATGGTACAACTCGGTGGCTTTCTCAATCAGGAGACTTTGCTTTTGGATTTTATCAACTTCCTAATGAGCTTTATTTGCTAGCTATATGGTATGAGAATATACCCAACAGGACCATTATTTGGAGTGCAAATGGTGACAGTCATGCTCCTAAAGGATCAAGGTTGGAACTAAATGACTCTCGTGGGCTAGTGCTTAGTAACCCTCAAGGTTCAGAGTTATGGAGATCAGGTTTTACGTCAAGGACAATTTATAGTGGTCTAATGAATGATAATGGAAATTTTCAACTATTGGACCAAAATTTAATGCCAGTATGGGAGAGTTTCAGTCATCCAACAGACACATTGGTGCCTACTCAAGTAATGCAGTTAAATGGCAATCTTTATTCCCGACAAGGAGAATTCAACTTTTCTCCTGGAAGGTTTAAACTTCATCTCCATGAGGATGGAAATGTTGTGCTCAACCTTGTTATTTGCCTAGCAACTATAGTTATGAGCCTTACTATAACATAGGCGCCGTTGATGCCAAGAACCAAACCAATGATGGCATGCAATTGATATTTGACAAATCAGGCTTCTTATACATATTGACAGAAAGAGGGGAGAAGTTTAATATCACCAAGCCAAATGAGGGGATCTCAACTGATGGCTTTTACTACAAAGCAACAATCAATTATGATGGAGTTTTTACCATATCGCAATACCCTAAAGATCCAAAAGATGGACAAAGATGGGTCACTATAAGGACAATACCAGAAAACATTTGTTTGAATTCTACCTTCACAAATGGTGAAGGTGTTTGTGGGTTTAATAGCATATGCACCATTAAAGATGACCAAAGGCCAACATGTAATTGCCCAGAGGGATACTCTCTTATTGATTCATATAACGTGTATGGTGGTTGCATACCGAATTTCCAAGTCATCTGTCAAGAAGGTGGGCATCAATATCCACAAGATGATCAGTACATAATGAAGGAATTAACAAACACTGATTGGCCTAGATCTGATTATGAAACATTAAGTCCTTCTAGTCTACAAGAATGCAAAAAATCTTGTTTGCAAGATTGCTTGTGTGTGTTAGTTACTTTCAATGGAAGTTCTTGTTGGAAAAAGAAGCTCCCACTCACAAATGGGAGAAAAGATCAGGGAGTAAATGGAACTTCAGTCATGAAATTGATGAAATACAATATTTCTCTGGCCTCTTTACCAAACTTACATGCGAAGAAAGATCATGATACTTTAATCATTGTGGTATCAGTTCTTTTGGGTGGCTCCGTCTTTGTTATTTTAACATTAGTTGGTGCAATATGTTTTGGTTTCTCTTGGAATCGCAAGAAAATGACAAGTAATAGAACCAAAAAAAGTTTTGTTGATAGAAATTTGCGCAACTTTACCTTCAAGGAACTTGTAGAAGCAACAGGTAACTTCAGAGAAGAATTAGGAAGGGGATCTTTTAGCATTGTCTACAAAGGAATAATAGAGATGACTAATGTGGCTGTTAAGAAATTAGATAAGTTTGTTCGAGATAATGATAAGGAATTTCAAACAGAAGTGAACGTGATAGGCCAAACTCATCACAGGAACCTAGTTCGTTTGCTTGGATATTGCAATGAAGGACAACATCGGATTCTGGTATATGAGTTTATGAGCAATGGAACTTCAGCAAGCTTCCTTTTCACCCCTTTGAAACCAAATTGGAATCAAGAGTCCACATTGCTCTTGGAATTGCAAGAGGTCTTGTTTACTTGCATGAGGAATGTTCCACCCAAATCATCCACTGTGACATAAAGCCACAAAATATACTTCTTGATGATCAATATAATGCCAAAATTTCAGATTTTGGGTTAGCAAAGCTATTACTGATTAATCAAAGTCACACTGAAACCGGAATTAGAGGAACAAAAGGGTATGTTGCACCAGAATGGTTTAGAAGTGCACCGGTCACAACTAAGGTTGACACATACAGTTTTGGGGTATTGCTACTAGAGATCATTTGTTGCAGGAAGAATGTAGAAAAAGAGCTTGTTAATGAAGAAAAGGGGATATTAACTGATTGGGCATATGATTGCTACAAAACCAAGAGACTAGAAATGCTTCTTGAAAATGATTATGAGGCTGTAAATGAATTGGTCAGCTTCGAAAAGATTGTCATGATTGCCATTTGGTGCACTCAAGAAGATCCCTCTCTTAGGCCAACAATGAAGAAGGTTTTGCTTATGCTAGAAGGAATTGTTGAAGTTTCTCTTCCCCCAAATCCCTACTTTAATGGTTCAATAAGTCACAATTGAAAATAGATTCCTCTATATGTGGTTTTGGCATTGCCTTTCATTTTCTTTTCCATAATGTACTGTTCATCTAGTTGTTAAAATTGATCTTTCATGTCACTTAGAAAGTGGGAAAATTGTTAAAAATCAGAAGTTGATTATATTATATTTATTATTCTATATAATAAATGACATTAGATGTTCTAGTAATTTTTAAAGGTACATTTTTCCTGCTGATGATTTCCAGTAACAATACACCAAAATAATGGAATCCTCAGTAAAAATGATATGTTCATTTACTTCAAAAGAATTGCATATCTTCTTGATCGTTTCTTATAGTCCAGCCCACAGAGCTTCAAGATTATATATACCGTGGAAACGTTCAGACAGAGAGACATGCGGAGAACTATATAAAATTTGGTGACAAATGTTAGTGGAAGATTATAGCATCATTTAATAAAAGATATAAAAATGGTAGATTAAACTATTAATTGTGTTCATACATGCACTTCTGCTTTTATGTACAAACAAGATTTAATTTATGACTCTGATAGAAAATTAAATGCAAATCTTAGTTCAATATAAAGGCCTTAATTGCATTAGTACAAAATGGTCATGGATATAACTTGATGTACAAGATAGTTTAATTCATAATTCAGAATAAATTTTATCTTTTATATATATCTTATTTATTTATTTATTATTATTATTATTATTATTATTATTATTATAAATTTTAAAAATTACAACTTTAATTTAAATTTAAATAACATGGATTTTCAGAAGGTGGGATATTAATTAATTATGCATTAAATATGGGTTTTTAATCAATTATTTTTATCATAAATTTTTGTACTTTATGATAAAGTTTATTAAGCCATAAATATAATATTATAATATTTATACATGTGTAAAAGTAAAATGAAAAATAAATTACAACCTATGTTTTTTTTTTTGTTTTTTTATTTTATTTTTCTTGTTATATATTATGCTTATAAGAAAATTACAATCAATATATATAGTCAAAATTCGTTGATTACAAAAATATTAATCAATCTAATTATTGAATCATATTATATTAACTTCTGACTTCATGATCTTAAAATAATGTAATACATTATCTATTAATTTATTTTTATTTTTTTATAAAATTTTATAAATTTAATCAATCTTGTATTTTAAGAAAAGTTGTTTAAAAGTGTAAGTATATGTGTTGAAATTAATTTTAATAGTATTATAAAAGTCTAATAAAATATAGGATACAACTTATTCATAAAAAAATTATATAAAAAAATATATATATTATTAAAATAAAGTTTAATAGTTTATTTGGTGCTTAGAATAACATAAAAAAGATAATTTATTCTATCATATTATATCTTCAGTTTGTTAAACATTCCAATATAATGATAACTTATCTTATTAAGTTATTCTATTCTATCATAGTAATTCAAATTTTTATCTTAAGAAAGGTGATAGGATAGGAATCATAAAAAAAATATAACTTTTTTCCTTTTTCTTTCTCATTTTTTATATAATTTTTAATATTTTAATAAAAATAATTATTTCTAAAAATATGTATAATTTTAGTTTTTATAAAAATATTATATGAATATTATTTTTAATAAAAAATATTTTACTTATTTAATAAAATTTTTAATGTGTGTATGTGTAGTCCCTCAAATGTTAATTAGTTATGATTTAGTCTTTACCATCAACCCTTTTAAGTGTTAAGTTGATTGATTGAGAACAAACTCAACATTCCTACGTGACATATCATGTTATTTAAATTTTTTAATATTTTATTATTTGATTAATATTTGTAAATAGATTTTTGAATATATTTTAAATATTTATAGTTTATCCTTCACCCCTTTCCTTGCCCGCACTCTCACCCCACCCCCAAACCTGTTTTGCATTCCCTCTAACCCTACCTGCAACCCCATACCTTCGCCCACCCTGATCCTCACTCCCACCTTCTCCTCTTTCTTACATCCTAACCCCAACCCTTTCTCGTTCCCAACCTTATACCTTCCTCCACCTTGTTCCCAATCTCACCCTTTTTCCAACCCCACACCCTTTAAGTTTGCAACAAACATCAAATTTTCTTTATAAGTTTTGCTGAATTATGTAATATTAATTTTGTTTGGCTAGAACTCTTCCATTAATCTTTAAATTGTGGATCCTATGAATGTTTTAAGAAATAGTTATGATGTTTTGCAACGAGGTTGGTGTGGAGAAGGAGACATTGGAAGGGAAAGTAAGGAGATTTGTATTTAGGAGACTTTTTTTTAATAAATATTTAAAATATGTTTAGGGACTTATTCTCAAATATTAATTTTAAATAACAAACTATTAAAAATTTAAATGATGTGGCAATCTACATGGGAGTGCTGAGTGTGACACCTTCAAAAAATTTAGATCAATTCTTGAACCTTAATTAATGTCTATTGGTATATTTTAAAGGATTTTTTTTTATTTTCCTTTTTCTTCTTGATTTTTTCTTAACCCTTAATTTTATTTTGGTATGCTTAATTTAGATTTTTTTTTTTATATTCATGCTTGTTTCGATTACTGCATACTACTATAAGGATACCTTAGCATAAACTATTAATGTCATTATTGCATTCCAAATGCGAAAATTTAATTCCATCTTTTCCTATCTAGATAATGCATCCATTATAATTAATGTGTGCCCTTTTCTTTTCCACCTTATATTATCTTATTTCCCTCACTATGAAAAAACCTTAAATATGTTTCCCTTTTAAAATTTTGATGCAAGTGGAATGGAAGACTTTGTTTTCTATCTCTCTCCACCCCATGAGACAACCTCCTTGAATGGTATTATGCCATCTGCATTTAAAATGCCCCAGTGAATATGCACCCCACGTTGACCATTCAGATTCCATACACCCTTTCACTAAAACCACATTCAATTATTGTCTCTCACCTTCCCTTTCTTCTTAAAACGCCTCTATATTAAGTGCCCAAAACACCATCCTAGTGATTGTAATTCTTGAACGGCGTGAGTGGCCTTGGTAAAACACAAGACATCAGGACTTAGTGGAAGAAGGTGAAGTGTCACACGAAAATGCTATAATAGAAAGAAAGAGATTATATGTGAGCTTAATGGTGGGTTAGGTGACTATCTCTTGTGGTGACTCGTGTTTAAGGGAGAGGCTGACACTTAATGAAGGGAGATGAAATGATGAAGGTTAGTTGAGTGGCCTCTCTACATACTTATACATACATACATATATATATATATATATATATATATATATATATATATATATATATATATATATAAGGAAATTTGATCCTCGTTGTCCCATTTTTTTTTCTTCAAAAGGAGACATTGTATGAAAGAGATACTGAGAAGCTGAAGGGACTTAAGCACCATTTCTCCAAAACTGCACTTCATCACCTTTCTTACCCAGACTCGCCAAGTTCAATTCTCCACGCTAACAATCGTAGGTTGTTCATTCAAAATTTTGTTCCAAAGGTAGAACTTTCATACTTATACTTCTCCTTTCTTACGACTAAGCTAAGGTAAGGATAGTCCTAGTGTTTCAAAGTTATTATGTGTGACATGGTGTTTCGTATGCATTTTCAACTTCATGTAATCCTAAATGAATGAAATCAATTGCATGTGTGATATCTCTCTAATCCCTAGCATTTCTTTGCAACTAGGCTGAGTGAAAAAGTAATTTAAATTGTTGCATGGTGAGAGATCATGATGATGTTCCTAGTACATGTTATCATCCTCTTATTCTCTACTCTTCTTCACCTTTTGCATGATTACCTTGACTAAGTTTGGTGACTGAGATTATATAAACAAGAAAGTATATGCTTTTCACTTAGCAATAATAGTTTTTAAAAAATTTCTTCTCTAGAGTGAGGTTCCTTAAGTCTTTAGCGTCTCCCTATGATATTCAGATTATACGATGTTAATTAAATAGTGAAAACATATCTTTGCAGGTGAGTGTTTTTTTGTTATGACCTTGCATGGTTAGAAGACTTGACTAATTGCATGTAAATAATTTATAATGGGTATATAAAATAATGTTCAAGTTAAATCTTCGAAGAATATTTGTAAATCCTTTATATGAGTCTACTGATTGAACTATAATTGTAATAGTTTTACTTCTATGGTAAAGAATTTAAACTTTTAATTCCTGTACATTCATTGTTTAAATGAATAAAAAGAAAAATCTCGCTGATTGCAATAAGTATTTGAAACGTAGATTCATATTTGTATGTGTTTAATCCACAAAAATTGTTATGTTTATTCAACTCCTTCTTTGCTCACCTAAATCGAAACTATTTGCATGTGTTTAGAAAAAAAAAAGTTGATGCTTTTGAAGCTTGGATTATATGATAAATGAGTTTGAGTTATTCATTGCATTATGAGTTAGAGTAGAGTATACTGCTCCTTTTAAATTGTCATATTATATTGAGATTAAGGTGCAAAGTATATGCAGAGAGAAATCTGAACATCTGATTGTTTTCCTAAATATATTTGAATTCTAGCATGATTCATAGTAACATCTCTTATTATTCAAATTGAGTAATTGCCTACTTTTGTAAATTCTAGAATGTACCCTATGTGATTTGTTTTATCCAATTAATCTTTATGTCCTCTAATATTGTGAAAAATTTGACTGCATTATAAGGTTTTGGGATGACATATCTATGAGTACTACCACATGTTCTTGATGATATTTTTCTTTGTTGAATGTATTTCTAGTAGTTGAGAGGTTAATATGTTTCCTTTGCATTTAGTTAGTATATTCATCACTTTACTGGTTCTCTATCTAAATAAATGAGAGCAAAAATCTTGTAGAAAATGAAAATTTTGCACCTTTATATATATATATATATATATATATATATATATATATATTGTAAGTTATTTGACCCTTAAATTTCAAACTAATGTGCTTAATAACATTGCATAATTCTAAATTCTTCATCTCTTTTCAGGTTGCGTCATATATTAGTTATGAATGGACTATTAAATA